TGCAACCCTCATACACTTGTGATGGAAATGTCAAATGGTGCCACTACTTTAGAAAATAGTCTGACAGTTCCTCAAAAGATTAAACAGAGATTGCTAGGATATGTTTAGTCATCTCAATATGATTGAAGAATTCCATTACTAGATAGATACGTGAGCATGCCAAAGAGAAATGAAAACATATGTCACATATAAACTTGTACACAAATTTTTACAGTGGCATTACTTATAACCCCAAAGTGGAAAAGACCCAAACGCCCATCAACTGATAAATGAATAAATAACTTGGACATAGCCATACAATGAATTATTATTTAGCAATAAAGATGAGATAAATGTCTTATTATTGTTAAGTGCCGGGGACGTTTCCAACTCACAGAGACTCTGTAGAGGGTTTCTGAGGCTTTAAATCTTTGTGGGAGCAAAAAGCCTCATTTTCTCCACCAGATACATATGTTGTTGTTAAGTGCATCAAGTCAGCTCTGACTCATAGAGACCAAGAAGTGGCTGGTGAATTTGAACCCTGATCTTGAGGTTCAAACCAACCTTTCCATCCAGTGTATTATCCCATAGTGCCACAAGAGTTACAACATGTTAAATCTTGAAAACATGCCAAATGACAGACACCAAGAAACACAAAAGACCACATGTCATATGATTCCATCTACATGAAATGCCCAGAATAGGCAAATTCAACAGAAACAGGAAGTAGTGGTTGCTAGGGCTGGGGTCAGGGAGCGAAATTAGAGTGATTTCTCTTGTTAAGTGCCTTCAAGCAGTTCCAAAGAGTATATAGGGTTTCCAAGGAGTGGCTGGTGGGTTTGAACCACCAACCTGTGGTTAGTAGTCTAGTGATTATCCAACAGCGCCAGTGATTTCTGTTGTTAATTCTGTTGACCTTGTGGTTCAAACCGACCTTGTGGTCTTGCTTTATCCCACAATGCCACAGGTTCTAAAATTGATTGTGGTGACAGTTTCAGAACTCTGAAGATAGTAAAAAATAAACACCCTTCAACTTTGTTGTTGTTAAGTGCCGTCGAGTTGGTTCCAACCCATAGCGACCCTATATAGGGTTTCCAAGGAGCGACTGCTGAGCTTGAACCACTGACTCTGTGGTTCAAAACGACTTTGCAGTCCAGCTCATTAACCCACAGCGCCATACCAGGGCTCCCCTTGAACTTTAAACAGATGACTTGTATAGTTTAAATAATAAAGCTGGAGTCCTGATGTGACGCAGTAGATTTGAACAAATCGGTGGCTCAAATTCACTAGCTGTTCCTCAGAAAACCCTATACAGGGTTGCTATGAGTGGGAGTTGACTCGACGGCACTTAACAACAACAACAACAACAAGAAATATAAACAAAACCAAAACCAATGAATAGAAAGTCTAGGCTGGTGCCTGGCACAGGAATAAATATCATGTGGTGTTTGCAATTGTGTTGTTAGGTGCCATCGAGTAGATTGCGACCCTATTTACAACAGAACGAAACACCACCCTGTCCTGCGCTATCCTCACAGTTGCTGCTAATATGTGATTTTGTCGTACTGCTGTCGAGTCAGTATAGTGACCCTATAGAGGTTTTCTAAGGAGCGGCTGATAAGTTTGAACCACTGACCTTGGGAATCTAATGCTTATCCTGCAGTACCACACTAGGACTCCAGTACATGGCTGCTGTTTCTGTTAAGTGCTGTTGAGTTGGTTCTGACTCATAGCAACCCTGTATAGGGTTTCTAAGGAGCAGCTGGTGGGTTTGAACTGCTGACCTTGTGGTTCACAGTCCAGTGCTGATTTTACAGCGCCACATCAGTACGTCATTAGTGTGCCTTTTAATCATCTGAAGATTTTATTCACAGACTGGCTCTAGCCCTCTCTCTCCTGCTTGGCCCCTGCTCTGACTTTCTCCTTGGGCTCCTGATCCCCATCGCTACCCCTCCAACCAGTCCTCCACACAGCTGCCAGCTTTCTAAGGCAATTTTTAAGTGCCCCACCCCTACTCTCCTTGCTATGTTAGCGGTACTGTCGCATTACTCCCTGCCCCTGGTCCAGTTCCTCAAATGCACCATGCTGTTTCCTGCCTCCCGACCTTTGTACAGACTGTCCCCTCTACCTGCAACACCCTTTATCCTTTTCCTACAGTTCCCCGACCCCCCCCAGCCCTTGTGTTTCCTGCCAGCTTCAATTCCGCTGACCTGCAGTAAAGGAAGGGCACTGCAGGTCCAATTAAAATAACAACAAACAAAAACATAAAACTTCCTGCCATCATGTCAATTCCAACGCATAGCAACCAACCAGCATAGTGTTCCAAGGCTGTAAATCTTTACCGGAAGCAGAAAGTTTCATCTTTCTCCCATGAAGTGGCTAGTGGTTTTGAACTGCCACCATTCAGTATTTATCCTACAGTGCGACACCAGGGACCCCCACTCAGGTCCAGGAACTGTCATATTTATTACCATCTACCTGACCTCAGCAGTCCTGGTGTGGCTCTGTGGGTTAATGCACCAGACTGCAAAGTTGTTTGAATTGCAAGGTCGGTGGTTCAAGCTCACTAACTGCTCCTCGAAAACCCTATACAGGGTTGTTATGGGTCGGAACTGACTCGACAGCACTTCACAACAAACCTGATCTCAAGGTCGGCAGTTTGAAACTACCAGTCAATCCGTGGGAGAAAGATGAGGCTTTCTACTCCTGAAAAGATTTACAGCCTCGGACAGAAACCCTATTCCGGGTCACTATGAATCGGAACCAAGAAACCGACTCCACCACGGTACTTAACAACACCTGACTCTTTAGCATCAGAAAAGCAAGGCTTGAAGGTCTTACAGACCTGGCTTCCAGTTTGTCCTCTGCCACTGACTGGCTGGGGCACCTCTTTCAAACACCTTCCCTGAGTCTAGATACAAGTCCCTTAGCAGATCTATGATTTGCAAAAGTTTTCTTCCATTCTGGGGGTTGTCTTTTAAAGCACAAAAACTTTTGCTTGTTGTAGTAGTTTTTAGAAGTTTTTACTTCTTCATGTGTAAAACGAAGACCGCAGTGTCCAGTGACTACATAAAGAAGGGACACAAACCCCATACTGTCCTGGAATATTAGTGCTGATGGTGGACCCTGTGGATGTAGGGGCTTTCAAGGAATGGTACTGGTTAAAATAAAATAACCCAAACTTGCTATTAAGTTGATTCCAACTTATAATGATATATATAGGCTTTCCAAGGCAGTAAATCTTTATGGGAGCAGACAGCCTCTTCTAGGAGTGGCTGGTTGGTTTGAACTGCCGACCTTGGGGTTAGCAACCCAATGCCTAATCCTCAGTGCCATTAGGGCTCCATCTAGCCCTTCCTTTTTCCATGAGGTTCCAGAGCTGTGAAGAGACTGGAGAGTCCACTTGAAAAGGCAGGGCTCCCCCAGGCCCTGTGTCCATTTCCCTGGGTGTAGTCCCAGCAGTGACCAGCAGGATAAAAAAATGGAATTTGAGATGGGGGGCGGAGGTAGAAAGAATTCTGAAATCCCAGGGTGACTCAGCATCTCTCCACTTCCTTCTTTTCCTTCTTCCCTCCCAGAAATGCTTATCAGCCAATTTGTTTCCCACTTCCCTACAAGTCAAGTTCCTTAGGTGATTTGCCTGGGATTAGGGGAGAGTGGTGGGCCTTAATGGGGAGCTTTCAGGCTGAGGTAGAACCCCTCTAAAAGAGGGCTGGGCTGAGAGACAGCATGCAGTGGGATCCTGGCAGCCTCCACCCATTTGGGGTACACAGATAGTCTTTATCTACAGCTACACCAAAGTGAGGAGGGCGTGTGGTCCTCTATCTGGAAGTTCCAGGCCCTGCAATAGGGTGGAGGAATCTGGCAATGGGCAGCATGGGCTTATCCCTTTTCCTTCCCCTCTCCTGAGTCAGCTACAATTTTTCAAAACCCTATATCGGGTCACTGGAGCCCTGGTGTGGCACTGCAGGTTAGTGCACTGGACTGCAAACTCAGTTTGAACTGTAAGGTTGGTGGTTCAAGCTCACCAGCTGCTTCTTGGAAACCTTTCTATGAGGGTTGCTATGAGTCACAACCGACTCCACAGCACTTAACAACAAACAACAACATACAGGGTCGCAGGAGTTCTGGTGTGGCACTGGGCTGAGTGCACTGACTGGACTGCAAAGTTGATTTGAGCCACAAGGTTGACGGTTCAAGTTCACCAGCTGCTCCCTGGAATTCCTATACAGAGTCCCTATGGATTGGAAGCAACTCAACAGTACTTAATAACAACAACAACAACAATATAGGGGTCACTATGAGTTGGATTGTTGACTTTCTTAGGAGTGGTGCCCCCAAGACTTTGCTCATGACTCAGTGATTCCCCTCTCATTTATTTGTTGTTCACAACCATCATCCCCTGCCCCAACCTTTAAGTATCCAGTCCTGCTGCCCAAGTCTTTGGAGGTTAAGAGTACAACTTGAGTTCAAATCTCAGCACTGCCATTTACTGGGTAGTTTTTTTGTTTTACCCTTTTTTTTTTTTGGAGCAAGTCACTCTCTAGAGGAAGTAATAATTGAAGCTCTGGTGGTCCGAGGGTCAAAAGCTCTATGCTTTTGTAAAGTTTACAACCTGTTTCTGTAAAGTTTGCAGCCAAGAATATCCTATGGACAGCACCCACCAACAATAGCGACCACCGCGGTGAGGATTTAATGCATGTGAAGAGAGGGTGTGCTGAGCGGCAAATGGATATTTGGTTTAGTAAGCCCTCTCTGAGTGTACACATATAATAGTAATGACAGCAGCAACATTTCATAACGGTCACGTGGAGCCCGCCAGGCTCCCATGGACAATTCCTATGCCTTAGACTTAACATGAAATTGGCTGTCGTGGTTTCTCCCATTTCTGCCCTCATGGTCACTGGGTTCTCACATAACCGAGGGACAGATAGATAGCCCTAACCTAGGCCCGGCTCCACAACGCCCCTTTCTGTGTTCTGCTGCTGTACCCCGTGACATCTCGCCCGTCCTGCTCATACCTGCTTGCACAGCCTGCGCAAGGGTGGTGAGTCCGGTTCTGCCAGTGGCGCCGAAGATCGCGATCTTCTTGACGGTCATGCTGCAGGGTCGTGGAGCTGCGAGCCGCGGAGTCGTAGGAAGCGTGGGAACCCTCTGAGTGCGGGGCTGTGCACTCTGCCCTCTAACTCGAGTCCTGGAGGCTGGGCCGCGCGCTCTGGGCCCCGCCTCAGTCCCGCCTCGTCCTTTCCCTCAATGCTCAAAAGGAGGGGCGTGTCCAAATAGACAACGCTTCCTACTAGGAAAAGCGCGAGTGGGCGGGGCAGGAGCCAGTCCAGCCCAGGCCGCTCCTCCAGCCACTGAGATTGGGAGGGGTCAGGTACGGTCACGCCTCCATACGACTTTGGCGGGTGGGCGGTACTAAGAGCTTATTGGCCTAGTGCCCCCCCTCCCAAAACGGGGCGGAGATAATTCTGACCACGCCCACCGGTCGCTCCTAACTCCCGCTACTGCTTCCAGTGTCTTGAGGCGAACTTGGGACTCCCAGGACGCCCCAAGCCTTCTCATAGCTGCAAAGGGGGAAAGTGAGGGAGGTTGCTCGTGTGTGTGTGTGTGTGTGTGTGACATTGTGTAATCGTTTATCTATGTATCTGTGTGTGTGTGAGACTTGTGTGACTGTGAGAAATCCCAAGGAAGAGCATGGCTGTGAATGACCCAACGCGCCAGCCATCCTGAATGAAACACCGTGTACCAGTGTGAGACTACATGACACCATATGTGGCAGGCACTGATGTTCTCGTGTGACCTTGTGGTAACACTGTAGGTGACATTGTGTGTCAGTCTGTGGCGCTCTAGGCATTATCATGATGCTGTGTGATGCGGTATGTGTGTGTGACCTGTGCAAGATGTGCTAGATGGGAGCCTGTGACTCTGTCAAACTGTGTGTGACATTGGGTTGCCGTGATGCTACTTGTGACCCTGTGACCGTATGATGGATGTATGTATGACATTACACGATGTGTGTGACCCGTGTGGTGTGATCAATGTGAGTTGTGTAAGAGGGTTTGACAAAGTAATTGTGAGGCTGTGTGACACATGTGTGGTTGTGTGACACTGTGTGGGTGATGGTGACATTATTTGTGTTACACAGTGTGGCCCAGCTGGACTCTATTCTAGTGCAGAACAACGTTAACAGCGTGTGACGGTTTGGATGTCTGACCCTGTGTGACCCTATATGAGGTGGTGACACCAGGAGTGTGTGGACGTGGGTGACGCTGTGACCCCGTGTGTGTGACAGTGTGGGAGTATGTGATTCCATTTGAGTGTGGTTGCGTGCGCACAGCTGTGTATCACACTCCGTGGCCGGAGTGTGGCCCACGCGTGGGCCCGCGTTGCAGGCGGCTGGGCGGGAGGGGGTCCCGGGGGCGCGCCGAGCGCAGCGGCCGCGCGAGCGGGGGGAGGCGCGGTGGCGGCAGCGGCGGAGGCGGCGCATGCGGATCTGGCTGAGCCGCTGGGCCGGTGGGGCCGAGCGGAGCCGGGCCAGGCCGGGCCGCGGACACTGACAGGGAGGGCAGCCGGCGCTGTGAGCGGCAGCAGGGACAGCGAGATCCGCAGCCGAAGACCCAGGTGAGCGGCGTTCGCGCGGACAGCCCCTCCCCCGCAGCATCTCCCCACCTGCCCGAGCATCCCTCTCTGGCGTGCGGGGGGCTTGGACTGAACCCTGGCGGTCTGTCTCCTCGGCTGTGGGGGAGGTAGATGGTCGAGGGCAAAACAAGCCCCCCCACCCAACCCAGTGCAACCTCCGCGCCATGCGTGAGTTCTACCACCAGGCCTTGTCCTTCGCAGGCCCCTCTTCTTGGGAACGGTGACTGGACTGCGGGGAGAGAGGCTCGGCCAGCCTGCGAAGGGTTAAAGCTTCTGATAGTGCCTCGTGGACAGGGCTGCAGGACCCCTCTTCCCACCTTCCCTACCGCCTTCTCCTGCCTCCAGTCGTCAGTCGTTCCCCCATTCAATCACGTAAGGGCCTGGGCTGCTCCCTGGCCTGAGGGAGCGCTCACCAAGTGCTAAACGCCTCCCCATCCCCAAGTGCCCTCCGTTGAGGAAACTGTTGTGATCACTATTTAACAGGAAGGAAACTGAGGCACAGAGAATGTAAGTGAAAGATACTGGGTTAAAGATACAGCCAAGAATAAAGCAGGAATGAACTCACTTTTGTCTGACTCCAAAAAAAAAAACCACACAAAAAAACAGGCATAGGAATGCCAACTGAGGGCTTGCTATGTATCAGATACCACATTAACTGCATTACTGTTGTGTTTGTCTGGTGCCTCGAGTTGGTTCCAACTCATAGTGACCATAAGGTACAACAAATGAAACACTGCCTGGCTTTGTCCTGTGCCAATCCTTCTTGTTGGGGGTTTTCCTCTTTTTCGATGATCCGCCACTAAAATAAGCATGATGTCCTTTTCAGGGACTGACCTCTCCTGATAACACGGTCAAAAAGTACATGAGATGAAGTCCCACCATCCTCCCTGAATTAATGAGCTCACTACTGTCAAATACCCATAGGAAATGAGTACCGTTAATATTTCCATTTTATAGATAAACTAAGGCCCGGGGAAAGAAGGGATTTGGTTAAAGTTCACACATCAGGTAGGTAGCATGTGCTCACTTAGAGCTTTCCATGGAAGAAGGGAATGGAATGGATTTGGGCATATCCTCCAAAAGGGACAGTCTCTGCTTTACTGACCAAGATTCAGACACTGTCCTCCTAAAATATAATGGGTTGCCTTTTGAAAAGGGGGACAATGATCTCCTCCCAGTTCCTTCCTTTCTTCGTCTTGGAATCAGGTGTGGGTGACTGGGAAAGTGGAGAGGATGTATATGATGTCACCCACCCTTTTTAAGTTTCATATTTACAACCTAGTGTGCTTCAAATGGTTAAGCGCTCAACTGAAAAGTTGGTGGTTGGAACCCATCCAGAGGTACCTAGGAAGAAAGGCCTGATGATCTGCTTCTTAAAGGACACAGCCATGAAAATCTTATAGAATGCAGTTCTACACTACACACACAAGTTTGGAGTGACTTGATAGCACCGGGTTTAGTGTTCTAGAATATAGCTCTGGAAACAAATGATCTGATAGTTAGCTGTTGTTGTTAAATGCTGTCGAGTTGGTTCTGACCCATAGCAACCTTGTGTAGGGTTTCCAAGGAGTAGTTGGTGGGTTTGAACCATCAGCCTTTTGGTTAGCAGTCCAATGCCCACACCAGGACTCCATGACAATCAGCTATTGTTGCATCAGAAACTACCCCTAAACGTAGTGTCTTAACTTAAAACACGGAGCATTTATTTAGTCTTTGAGTCTGAGCTTTAGGCTAGACCCAGCCTGGCAGGTCTAGTCTCTTCTGAACGCACTCGGATCTGGGGAGGAGGGTGGGTGACTATTGGCTTTTCTATTTGGCTATGGCTGGGATGATTAGGATCTTGAACTTGCACTAGCCCTGGCAAGTTTTTCTCATGACTGCAGTTAAGCCCAATGAGAAACATGCAAGATCTCTTGAGTCCTACTGTAATCTGGCTAATTCTAGTGGCCTAATTCTACCTAATTCTAGTGGCCATCTCAAGTCAATGATCAAGCCAGTAGCAAGAGGTTGAACTTGTCCACACCACTCTTCCCCCCCCCAATAAGAAGACACTGAAGAGTTACATGGCCAAGGGTGTGTCTACAAAACAAAAATCCATTGCCACTGAGTCAATTCCAACTCATGATGACCCGATAGGACAGAGTAGAATGTTCCCCCAAGGTTTACACTGCTGCATATTTCTCCCACAGAACAGGCAGTGAATTTGAATTGTCAATCTTTTGGTTGGCGGTCCAGCGCTTAACCACTGAGCCACTGGGGGATCCTTAAGGATTTGTTTACCAAGTTGAAGAATTGGGCCTGTTAATGCAATCATTCTGTCACAGGGCCTGACATCTGAATCTTCTTTATACGACTTACTTACTAGCTGTGTAATTTGGGGCACATAAATGAACCCCTCTGCGCCTCAGCTTGCTCCCCTGTAAAATGGACCTAGCAATAGGCCTATACTTTGGGAATTAAATTTGTGGGAATTGAGATAATGCATGTAAAGTACTTAACACAGTGGAAGTGCTCAATCAATGTTCATTATTGTTATGACTGTACCATAGAGTTCTAGCCACAACAAGGAGACCTAGTAGGGCGCTGTAGGATAAGAACTGCTAAGTAAAAGATTGGTGGTTTAAACCCACCATCCACTCCTCACAAACCCTATACAGGGTCACTATGAGTTAGAACCGACTCGGTGGCACTTAACAAAAACAGCAACAATATTGGACCACAAGATTAGTTTGAACTGCAAGGTCGATGGTGGAAACTCACCAGCCCCTCCTTGAATACAGGGTCGCTATGAGTCAGAACCAACTCCTCGGCACTGAACAGCAACAGCAATAATTGTTGTTGTTAAGTGCCGTCGAGTCGGTTCCGACCCATAGCAACCCTGTACAGGGTTTCCGAGGGTGTAAATCTTTACGGGAGTAGAAAGCCTCATCTTTCTCCCGCGGAGCGGCTGGTAGTTTCGAACCACTGACCTTAAGGTTCGCAGCCTGATTCGTAACCACTACGCTACCAGAGCTCCTATAGCAGTGACAATTTAGGGAGCATCTACCCTATGCCAGGAGCCAGTTGGATGCTTTACCACAATCCTGTGAACTGGTCATTGCAATTACATCCATTTTACAGGCTGGGAAATTGAAGCTCAAAGAGGCAAGGAGCTCTAACCTGCTTCTCTTTACCCTAGGCCTCACCTTCCCTGATGGCGCAGGTACCAGGGGAAGTGGACAACATGGAGGGCCTGCCTGTCCTTAACAACAACAACCCTACAGCCCGCTGGGAGAGTCCGGATCGAGGCTGGGAGCGGGAGCAACCAGCTGCCTCCACAGCAGCTGCTACACTCTTTGAATGCTCCCGGATCAAAGCCTTGGCAGGTACCTGGGAGGTGGGGGTTGGAGTGGGAGAAGGGGAGGCAAGGAAAGGGAACAGGGCCTGCTGGGGTGGGCTCTGTGCCCCTGAGTGCCACAGAATCTTGGTGACTGGGAAGGTGGGAACAGAGTCAGAGAAATTTAGAACTTGACTCTTTCAAACACCACTGCCCAACTGACCATTCTGCCATGTCCAATATGTTGTTGTTAAAGTGCCATTGAGTGGGTTCCAACTCACAGTGACCCTGTATAGGGTTTCTGAGGATTGGCTGCTGGGTTTGAACCACCAACCTTTTAGTTAGCAGTCCAATGCTTATCCTATATTGCCACACCAGGACTCTGACATTTAGTATGGTATCCACTAAGTACCATGGCTGTTGCACCCTTAAAATGTGGCCAATGCAACTGAGGAATTAGATTTTTTGTTTTGTTTAATTTGAGCTCATGTAAATTTAAATAGCCACACAGGACTGGTGGCTGCCACACTGGCCAGTGCGGCTTTGTTGTTGTTAAGTACCATCATGTCAATAGTGACTTATAGCCACCCTGTATAAGGTTTCTGAGGAGTGACTGGTGAGTTTGAACTGCCGACCTTGCAGTTCAAACTGACCTTGTGATCCAGTGCTTATTTTACAGTGCCACACTAGAACTCCCATAGAAATCTGAAATGAAAACCTTTCAGATTTTCAGAACTTGGAACATTGTACTCAGCTACTCTTCAAGTCTTAGACTTTTAGAAACAGAAATACTGAGCAACATAGACGTTTATAATCATCCAAACAGAATCCATTGCCATTGAGTCGATTCCAACTCAGCAATCTTCAGGGCAGAGTGGGACTTCCTCTGGTGTAAATCTTCCCAAGGGTATAAATCTTTTTTTTTTTTTAATGTTTTATTGTGAATTATGTGATAGTTTACATGGGAGAACATTAGCTTTACATTCACCCTATTGTATATTGTTTCATTGCCATGGTTACAATCCCCTCCATGCATCATTAACCACCCAAAGGGTATACCCTGCAAGCCTG